TCTGGAGATCAGATAATACAGGCATCTAATTATCCACACCTGGCTGCCATTTACCCTCTTAATTTCTACTGAAAACTGAGTTGCTTGTGAGCTACATAAGCAGCACAAATGAATTAAAAAGCACAAAAATGATCAAAATAAGCAACACCAGCTTCTAACGTTTTTGTTATCAGTTAAATAATTAAGGTTTTATAGGATTAGTTAAAGTCTCCACTTAAGCCATCTATGTCCACTGTGAGCGACCATCTTTGAACAGAGGCGGTGGTTTACAACACCAACTGTCTGCCATCTATAATCCAGTTTTGAGATCCCTCCCCAGACACCTTAACGCCCACTCACATCCTGGGCCATCTGACCTCAGGAATTCGCATGGTAAGGTGGGGCCAGGTTTCACAATGAGCTCACCCGAAACCCTGGCTGATTGGGACCCACACCCAGTTTCACACCTTGGCTCACGTGATTAGGTAGAGGATCATGAGGGGGTCCTTTGTCCCTCTGTGGGGGGAAACTCCCACTAGGTTTAAATCTGGGACTCTCCACCATTTGACCTTAGAACTGAAGAAGCTTCTCGGATGAGAGGTGAAACGTCTTCAAGTACCTTAAAGAAGTCCAGACGCTTTTCTTTGCAAGCTCCTCTGACTACGATGACCTGGATGTCTGAGAACCTTCACAGACTTAAGTCTCCACTGTTTTACCCATAGACTGTATATAAAGATGGATGTTTTCTCTGGCTCTGAAAAATGAAGCTAATGTGAAATTGGCTTAAGCTCTTTCTCAGTGCCAACAGGGGGAGACTGTGTTGATAATAGAAATAAGTTTGACTGTGTTGAAGCTCACTTCATAAACCCTATTAAAACAATCTAAACTTTAACCCTGTAAAACTTGAATTGACAGGAAGTTATTTTTCTTTTAATTAACATTTTCTTGACTAGCCACTTTTTTTAAATTGGGAGATTAAATATTAATTTGCATATATGAGTTTTAACTTGTATTATATTTGCTATATCCAGAAGTTAATGCAATTTATTGCTTTAAAAGGTGGTGGGGGTGGGGGGGAGGGGCACTTGGCATTAAAGGGTTATTTATCTAACAATTGTAGAAAGAGGTCTCAGTCTCTACTTGCTTTTCTTTTTCTGGTGCAGCATGATGTTTGTTCAGTGACTTATGGTCCTGTTTAGTGTTGCTAGATAATGACTTGCATGTGTTATGGGGGGGTTTGTACTGTAGTGCGCTGTCCCTCTGTTCCTGATTTTGGTACAGACCATTCATAACATTCTGTTTCCAAACCCTTAGATGCCGATGCAAAACTCGAGGCTTCAAGCTGGGACTTCACTAACCGATGAACAACATTACTGAACACTGACTGCATCCACAGGCTATAAGTACTGTCCACGTTAAAATGTTAAATAATTTGTATAGTAACTCGGATCTTTTTTTAAATTATTCAGATAAACAGAAGTATTTTTTCACAATATAAAGCAACTAATTCATATTTCTTTGAAATAATCCTACTTTACATCTGTAGATAAAACAATATACCATGTTGCTAAGGACCATTTCCTCAGCTTCTTGTAACATATTAACAGATTTAAGTTGTAAAGGCCTGAACATGCCACTAATTTAGAATTCGTAATGGATGAGCAATAGGGTGAATAGAGAGTGTCAGCAGGTGTTGTTCCTGTTATACCTAACAGCTTAGTCAATAAACCAACCCTGCTACAGTGATAAGCAAATGTGAATGTCATACATTTCTGCAGCTTTGGATGGGAGGCAACGAGGGAGCGGCCGCAGTTTCCACATACCTTCAGTTACATTCGACAGCATTTCTGCTGAGACAGAAACCAAACAGCTTCTACATAGCATAATAATAATTTTGAAGTGAGAAAAATAGAAGAGGTGCTAAATTAACGATAGATCCAGCTGTAATCTGTCCAACGGCTTACAGTCAGCATGGTTACGGTGGACTTCAAGACACTCACAGCGCCGGTGGGCATTTTAAGGATACTGGCAGTGGTCTTAACCTGCATCTCCTTCAGCCTGGTGGCATCACTGGGCCACACTTCTCTGTCCTTCTGGGTCTGGTGCATGTTCAGCTGGTGTTTCTGCTTCTGCATCACCTTCCTCGTGCTCCTCCTGGAACTGACAACTCTAAATACAAAGCTGCCCATCTCCTGGGATGACTTCACTGCTGCATTTGCCATGTTGGCTACCCTGATGGTATGTGTCGATTTTTATTTTTTAAACTCTAATGTCATTTGTCTGTTCTTGCTATAGCTATTGCTGCAGGTTGTATGAAGGACTAGCCAGCTTTCTTCATGATCACTGCCACAAATAAAAGTGTTTTAAGCTGAACTTAAATTTAAAGGTTTCATACGGCTCAAACTACTTTAAGTACAATTAAACTACTTCATGAAAAATAAGAGGCAGATTAACTATGTTTTTAGAGATAGACATATCAACACCCTAAATGGTGAGTTTAAAAGTCCCATGGTAGAGCTTTATTTTTTTGCAGCTTTATCAATAATCTATAACTAGTTAAACTGAGTGAAACACTAGAAATCAGTCAAAATCAACTCTGAGTATCTTAAAAAGATTCCACCCTTTCTTCCACACAGATGTTCACAGCAGCTGTGATCTATCCATATTTCTTCGTCTGCTCTAGCTGCGGCAGAGGTATTGGTGCCAGTGTCACGACCTGCTTGGCCTTCATCCTCTACGCCGGTGAGGTGGGGCTAACCCGGGCCAAACCTGGTGAGATCAGTGGATTCCTTTCCACAGTCCCAGGCCTCCTCAAGGTTTTAGAGGCCTTTGTGGCCTGCATCATCTTCATCTGTTTGGACTTCACCTTTTACTCTATCTTCCCGGGGCTCCAGTGGTGCGTTGCCGTCTACTCCATCTGCTTCATTTTTGCCCTCCTCGTCATCATTTTTACCATCGGCCGCCTGCTGTCTCTCTTCCCTGCGCCCTTCGACAAAGTCTTGACGGTGTGCAATGTGCTGGCAGTGCTGATGTACTTCACAGCTGTGGTCATTTGGCCATTTTACAGCTTTAGGAACAATTTACGCACCAATGATTTTTACATAGTCATTACTGTGATGACCTGCTTGAACCTCATTGCTTACATTGTGGATACAGTTTACTCGTTTAAGCTCGTCTTCTTCGTCAGCAGAACATAGGTTGCAAAAAGTCAGCTTGAACGTATCTTTCATTGATTGATTGATTGATTGATAGTTATTTTTATGATGGTTTATGTCATTCTTTTACTGCAGATTTCATATTAATTAGAGTAGCTTTTTTTAAACACGATTTTGCATTTTTTGAAGCGTTAACGTAGCTGTGGTTGATTCAGGGTTTTTTTTATTCAGGTTTATGAGCCTGTAAAAGTACCGAGTAGGAAACTCATTCAGTGTAGTTTCTTACAAATCTCACCCTGATAAAGAACACTAAAATCCAGTCATTGTGGTTACTGAACGTTATTGAACAAGCCTACATACCCATATGGTTGTTTTAGCACCTGGGTAATAAAGTATGATAAGTAAATCTTAAATAAATACCACTTTCATGGTTTCAGGGTTAAATAATGAACTCCCCTTTGAGAATGTTTGCAAAGGTGTGTCCAAGTGTGCATATCCTGCAATACACACAGCTATGGGTTTTGAGCTAACAACTCCACTCCCTTTTTTTGATTATGGGCATGGAGTAAGTGAAAGAGAACAAAAAAAGAGCAGATTTAAGAAAGTTTTTTCTTCTTGTAGTTTTTTTTAAAGGCAGTCTTTAGCTGTTAAAGAAAGAAGCTGCTTTGTTTTGTCCTAATGATTTAACTGCTGATGATGAGCTGAGCTGTCGAACGGCTCCTCATGTGTGTTTACACAGGAAAAGAATTACTGGACGTTTACTGCCAGAACAGGTTTATTTAGGTTTATTTATTCAATCCAAAGCTCTAAAGCCAGTTGGAACAATAATCAGTGACGACTTTGCTGTTTGATTAGTCTACAATGGTTCTGGTTATTCTTTCAGTAAACAGTGAAAAATGCACAGTTTAAACTGGTTGTATTTGGATTTTGTCCAAACAGTAATAAAACATTATTTTTATAAATATTTTAAAGTTTTTAAAGATGAAGCACACCTTCACTCAGTGTCACAAAATAAAAATTTTCCTTAGTAAATCTATTACTTAAAGGGAGAGTACAGGATAAGTACTTTTCCATTTTAGTTTTCTTTTAACGGACCATACGAACCATAAAAGCAGTTGCTCAAGGTTAGCCCAGTTTGCTTATCAGAGTATAAGTAATAAAACTGATAACCACTAGCATATATGGTTGAAGCGTAACCTTTCACCCATCATGTAGTTTTGTGAGCAATGAGAGATTTTGTTTTTGTTTTTTAAAAAAGGAAAAAGCTACAAAATGGAAAAACTGGAGAGGAAGAGACCACATGGGTCACATCCACATTCTGCATCTGCAGATTTAATGTGTGTTAAAGTACCGTAGTGATTGTGTGTTCTTTTAAATGTATTCTTATAAATGTACACTTTTCTCTGCTTCTTTGTTTTGTGGTTTGTTTAACGTTTTCTTACATTTTAAATATTCCATGAATGTTTAAGGAAACGAATCATATGATGTCCAATGTGTTAGTGTAAATGGAATAGTACTTATATAACAGTACTTATTATCTATTCTAACCCTCATTTATCCAACCTTTCACACACATTCATACAAGCTCTTCATTCTATAGCACCTTTTGTAGCTTTCACGCTAACACTCACACGGATGCACCATGGAGGGAACTCAGGTCAGTGTCTTCAGTGCCTTGCCCAAGGATAGTAGCCAGGGATTTTACCACTGCCACCAACTAAAATTTAAAAGCTCAATAACATAACTTAGTGTCCCAAATTGCTCTCTTTTAACTACACAGAAGTAATAAATCAAGTCAACAAAACTACAGGAAAAAACGCATTTGTTTCTAGGATATGACCTACACCCCATCACTATGCTGTACTGAGCTGGGTTTGTGCCAAAGACCAGAGTCCAGTGTGGGTTGCGAGGCTAACATGATAACGCTCATGAGTATCCAATCAATGGCGTGAAACAGGGGTCATAAACAGCTCAGATAAGCCCAGGATGCTCTGAGTGAATGTGCACCACCACTTGCGTTTCTGTTTCAAAGAACACACCTGCTCTGGTCTTTGCCTTCATGGACATCTTTAGCTGCTATCATTTAAGCTGGTTTCAAAGTCAAAGGCTTGCTGTACACTGAGTACAGTAAACTGACTTGGAAAACCAAAGAATACTTTTTTTTTTTAAGGTCAAAGACACTCATCCTGTCCAGACATGGTGACTGTAGATGTCCGATCCCTTACCCAGCCAGTGGGGATCATGCGAATAATGGCAGCTATCCTCACTTGCATGTGTTTTAGCCTGGCGGGAGCGGCAGGAGATGGTTCATCTTCCTACTGGGCGTGGTGCATGTTCACTTGGTGCTTCTGCTTCTTCTTCACGTTTCTGATTGTCATCCTGGAGTTCACCACCGTCAACAGCAAAGTACCTTTCGCCTGGGATGACTTCACTACCGCCTTTGCAATGCTTGCGAGCGTCATGTGCCTGATCGTCTCCATCATCTACCCCACTTTTTTCACTTGCAAAACCTGCCACCGTGCTATCGGTGCCTCCGTGGTCTCCTGGGTTTGTTTCGCCACATATGCAGGTGAGGTGGTCTTAACACGCCTTTATCCTCGTGGGGAAACCAGCGGGTTCCTCTCCACGGTGCCGGGGATAATGAAGATGCTGGAGACCTTCATTGCCTGTCTCATCTTTGTATCCCTGGATCAAAGCCAGTACACTGCTAATTCAGGACTCCAGTGGTGTGTGGCTGTGTATACCTTGTGTTTTATCTTTTCCATCATCATAATCCTGCTCACCCTCGCACAGCTGACCTCCTACTTGCCGATCTCCTTCGACATGGTGGTGATTGTCTATAACATTTTGGCAGCAGTGATGTACACGACAGCTATGGTGATCTGGCCACTCTACAGTTTCTCTAAGAACAAACAAAGACCCTCTAACTGTGGTCACTTCTGTCCCTGGGATAAGCTGGTGGTGGTCACCTTCATGACAATCTTTAACTTTATTGTTTACACCCTGGACGCTGTGTACTCGATACGTCTTGTGTTCTGCATCATGAATCGTGAAGACTAATATGAAACAAAACATGCTCTGTGTTTGCATCACTCTTAATAGAACAAGGTTATAAAAGTGTTTCAATTTTTTATAAACTTGTGTTATACAGCTGCTGACCAAATAACGAATCCAACATAGTCTATTATAATCTAAAGTGCTGTCTTAAATAACTGCATAAAAGAAATGTAAAGTACCAAAACATACTCAGTTAATGATTAGATCTGTGGTATCACTGTCATAAGATCTAAAAACAAAACAAATATCTGAGGGGAACTTTGGATCCTGAGGTGATCGAACAGTACAGGTAATAATGTTGAGGTCATCTATAGCTCTGCTGCGTCGTGTAGTCAAATTATATGCCAAATAAAGGTGGGTGTGTTCACATTCATCTTTTTACTTGACGGTGTCACAACTTTCTGATGAAAGGAAGAGTTTGACAGTTGACATTTCGCTGTATAATAAACACGGTGGTTATTTTTCAAAAAAAAAAATGAAGGCCAAGAGCAAAATGTTATTGATGCACTCTTGAGTATTAGCGTAAAGCCTGACTGATATGTTATTTGTTTAGGCCGATACCGATATCTGCTGATTTAAAAAGTCTGATATCCAACATTGGATGAAATAAATGTAAACAGATTTCAGCCAATAACTGCACATTTGCTGTTTGTAGTTTATATACTTGTTTACATTCTGGCCAGTCAGATGGTTGTTGTGTTTGTGGCAACTTTCCTGTTGCCAACAAGAAAGTTACTGAATGCCCTCTGCTGGTCAAACTTCTCGGCATGAAGACTCGTGCTGCATGAGTGCTTCTCCAGTCCCTTGGTTACTTTTTAATTTTCATTTACTGGCCAATATAAATGCCAGTACAGTCAGATCGACATTTAGATAACGGTATCTCCTTCGAAGGTGAAGGTCGATATTGCTACCTTCATGTAGAACCAAGTATCCTGCATTGAAAAGTGAAAGCAAAAGTCTAGTATTATTTTGTTTGTGCTGAACTACCTAAAAATGAACGTGTCCTAGTTTCAACAATAGTAATCTACAAACCAATGCGTGACATTGACATGTATGTTCATCTTTTAGATCCAGTTAATAACAACTGTTTCCATGTTCCCAGACTTTCTGCTATTCGGGTGTGGTCACCTGAATTATATAATAAAGACCACATTTTGTTCCCTAAATGTCAAGCCAGTGTTGCAGATAAATATATAATAAAACCAAAATCCTTAGTGTGCAACACAAACAGGAAAATATAAACACTGAAAGGCAAACAGACCTGCCACTGAGATGGGGCTGGAAGAAATGAGAGAAATACAGGGACTTTTTTTTTTTCTAAAGGCGGAGATGAAGCAGAGACAGCAGTGAGACGGCAAGAAATTTCCAGACCTTGGTGGGATACGTGGGAAAGCCAAAAAAGAAAATGAAGTTGGATTTGTTGGAAGGTGTTTTCTTTCTTTTTTTCCCCCTTTCTTTCTTCTTTAGAGATGTGCTGGGCAGGCCTGGAAAGCCAGGAAGCAAAAAGTAGAACCTCAGTTAATTCTTTTAAAACAGCTTCATCCAGATCTTACATGTAATCCCAAAAGTATTGTGCTGCCCGGTATACCAATCTGTGTGAGTGAGCTTGGGTCAAATAGAGTAAGTGAAGCATGGAAATTTAGCTTTTCTTCTCATGTCAGTCTGTCAGAAGGAAAGACCACATTTAAGTAAATCGTCTATATATGCCAGACGTGACAGTAAATTGGATTCTGTAAGGTGTGCTTTGATTTAGATTACCGAATGGACAACTCACGATCAACAGTTCACGAGTTTCTTCCACTTCAGGGGGGAAAAGAGGTATGAAAAAGTACACTGTACAACACATCCAAAATGTGCCTTCCTTATTAAAAGGAGTTGCAGTAAAATGTATTTTGTGACTGTATTTACTATTCAAAGCATCTATGTAAAGAGGTGTTACGTTTAGTGTGGTTAAATCAACCAACGCTTTCTCCCTGTGTGTTTGCTCATTAAATACCAGCAGAGTTAGTGGTAATCATTAACTAGTTCTAACTTTTAGTTGGAATACTAAAGTAATACGGAAGAGAACAAAGAATTGTTGATAACATAAAGCAACTGTTCAATTATTAAAGTACAAAACTACCATAGAAAACATAATGCAAAAGAGTTTAACACAATCTTAAGCTGAATTATTATTTTGAAAAATGAAACAAACAGTTTCAGTTTAAGAAGCCTTATAGTGCGCAGAGTGCACAGTGAACACATAAAAATACTCACTCAGAATCATATAAATTAAATTACTGAATCATAATTATTGATTTTTGGTGTGTATATATCTCTTTAATGTTGGAGCTACTGAGGTAGGTTTGTGCTCCATTTGCTTGTTGCTAGGGAACCAAGTGCATTCACCCCCAATTGGTTGCCTGTGGTTTCTGGATCAAATCAGTTGCAAAGAAGGTGGTGCACCAAAAACCTCAGAGAAATTGGTGTGGTTGTTAGTAGACTGCCATTCTTGCCTGTAGTTTATGCAACATGTTTCAAAACTTTTCCAGTTTCAAGTTAGCTTTTTATAGTTTCTCTCCTCCTCAGAGAGTAACTGGGCAGTGTTTGTACACAGGTCTGTCGCTTCCATTCAAACTGTCAGTGCAGAATAGTTTGTAACCAAAGAAATCACTGGAGGATTTTTCCTGACTGAGATTTCGGCAATCATTTTGCCCCACAACTCACAACAGCCTAAAGCAACCACACAGTCAGGGAGGAGTCGGGGCCTGGGAGGGCTAATCATTTTTCAGGACAGATTGGTGCCATCCCATGCCGACCTTCTGGATACATCCCTGCTTAATAACACTTTAAATCCCACGTGTTTACTAAGGTATAATAAATATTCTACACAGTTCTTGCAACATTTTTATTGTTGTATTTGTCAGCTTCATTAAGTTGTTACTAAGGAGTTTTGGCTGTTGATGAATACATTTGTCACCAACACCTAAAGTGTGTTTCTTGTTCCTGGTCTCACATTATAAAGTCAGTGTTTTGTGAATTAGGACTAAATGAATAAATACAACCGAAGTGAACTGAATGGAAGCTGAATTAAATTATATTTAAATTTATGGCCAAAATATTGAACTGAAGACTACTCAAGGCACATATTTGATGCTTAAAAAAAGCAGTTGCTGTATCTTCATGCAGGTATTTTTTTTTCCTTTCTTCATTTTTTTTGTCGCATGTGTCCAAAGAGACTGCAGCTGCAGATTCAAAATGAACTGAAGTATATTCAGCTTGAGATAGAGGTCGACTGATCGTCCGTCAGCGTGCATGTGACTGTTCAAAATCAGGGATTCTGGCTGTGAAAGAAGGCTGAAAGTCAGCAGTGTGAGTTAACACAGCATGTATGTTTAATGCAACTGGTGATCTGTATGTCCAGCTAATCTCGTAGGGCCTGCTATTGCAAGAATATTTCATTCTGGGACTAACAAGGCAGAACAATCTGAACCACACATCACAAACCAAATGGTATGTGATAAATACAGGCACTGGTACAGCCACAGAGAAAACTAATCTACGCACAGGGTTTAGGCCGTACATTAATTTTAAGCAAAAAATCCAGGCCTACTCTATGTCAGCATGTCAGCAATAAAATTATGCTAACCCAGTTATTCGTGTGCAAGTAACATGGCCCAGCTGGTAGATTTGATTGTGGCAGATTTGTGTAAACCCGTGTGTGTGTATGTGTTCGCGTGAGGCATATTCTTCGTCACATCATCACCGAGCAATATTCAGATCAATCACTGCTATGCGGCCGTCACAGTGTTGTTCAGAAAATAGCACAGAAATTCATTTGTCCCCATGCTGAACTTTCTAGACCGAATTGTTATGTGATTTATTGAATTATGTTCCCAACTAGATGTGGAAAAAAACACGGTAATCTTTGTTTCAAAAGAGGTCCTTGAAAAAAGAGGTAAGAAGCGCCAGAGGTAGGTGCATCTGACAGGAAAGAGAAAGGAAAGACCATCAGAGCAGCAGATGAGAGGCTTCCTGTCCTGGAGAGGAAAGGGATGAACGTGCAGACCACCCCAGAGTCAAAGCAGAAAGTCAGCCTGAAAGTTTGCTAATGATAACATGTGGATAGTATGACTGAATTTTATTGTTGGGAATTACTCATCTTAACGTCAACCGACTCTGCTTTTTAAAGGGTTTTGTTAGAGGGGACACGTGCTCCTTTCCTTTCATACCAACCTGCAGTACATTCATCAAACACTGAAAAGCAAAACCTTTCCACGGGCACAACCTCAATTGTTCCCTAACAAAAACATAGAGCTTTAATAAGACTGAAACATGAGAATAATAACTACACCCACCTGCTGCTTTATTAGTTGTGCTTTCAGCTTGTACCTGGTTAGACCTCCTTTTTCCTTTACAACACATGTCATATTCAACAAGCTGCCATACCAGCATGACAGGATCACATAGTTGCTGCAGATTTGTCAGCTGTACATACATAATAAAAATCACCTGTTCCACCACATCCCAAAAGGTCTTGGAATGCTGATAAACATGATCAGCAACAATACTCAGGTAAGTTGTGGCATTTAAACAATGTGCAACTGGTACTAAATGGCCCAGAGTGCGCTAATATCCTCTATACTACACCAACAACAACAACCTGAATTATAGGTGCAACATGGGATGGCTCATGTTGGTTGTACCAACATGAAACCCCTTACCTTCGAGGTGTGGCACCTTGTGTGGTCTTCTGCTGCTGTAGCCTATATGCTTCACAGTTGCTCGTCTGCATACAACTAGATTTTTAACTTATTGTTGCCTTCCTATGAGCTCAGAGCAGTTTGCCCATTCTGCTTTGACCTCTAGCATCAACTTGGCCTTTTTGCGCAGTGAAATGCAGCTCATTGGATATTTCCTCTTTTTCAGACTTCTCAGCAAACTCAAGAGATGGTTGTGTAGAAAGTCCCAGGACATCAAACTCAAAGTCACTTAAATCACCTTTTTCCCCCCATTCTGATGCTCAGTTTGAAACCCAGTAGGCTTTCTTGACCACATCTGCATTTCTAAATGTACCGATTTGCTGCCATGTGATTGGCTGATTAGATATTTTTGATAAACAACAAATTAATGTGTACATCAAATTAAAGGCAGGTGACTGTAAATCAAATACCACAACTAAAGTGTAAAAAAAATAATCTCTATATAAAAGAAAAACCAAATGCAAGTCATTTACTTCTTTTTAAAGCAGATTTGGAGACACTTCTGTGCAGGTCTTTAAAATGTCGGGGAACACAGACTCATGTATTTTGTTAAACAACTTGAGTCAGTTCAGTTTAGCCATGGCTTATTCATTCATTTAATATTTCTCTCTTACATACACACCTCTCTGCAGAGGTTATTCTGAGCTGCTTCCTTTTTGTGTAGATCCTTCAATTCTCCAGGGGGGGAAGATGAATGCAGGCTGACACTGTCTCTCCAGTAAAAGCCAAACGATGCCTAAATGCTTAGTGACATGTCTCGTTTTAGAAATTGGTTGTTGCATCCAAAACTAGTGTCCCGACAAGTTATAATTATCATTGTCAAACTGGCTTATTTTGATAATACAATCTAGCCTTTCAGTCTTTCCTAATTAACTCCTCTAATTTGCCCTTCAGGGTAAAGTATAAAGGGGCTTTTGTTAGAAGGAATATTAAGCACTGCTATTATTAGCATAATGAGAAAGGGAACATGGACCTGTGTTCAGATCCGCTCAAACTATGCGATTTGTAAAGGCTCGAAAAAATATAGGGTTTGACGCCTGAGTGGTTGACAAGCAGTGGAAGAAGGTGATGTTATGAGCTACAGAATTTAATAAATATCACTACACTGTCCACTTCATGGAAGATGTTTATTTTAATAAGTGAAACCAGTAGTAAATTTTAGTGCTTAAACTGGTAGTAGTAGTAAAACAGGTCTTATCTTTGATCATAAAATATTCAAACTTCCCCAAAACTTCAGCTCTGGCTCATATCATATATAAAACTACTTTATTACTAACCCACTGCACCCTGGACAGAGACAATGTTATCCTGTCTTCCTCCCCTCACCCCAACCGGTTGTGAGAGATGGCCGCCCCTCCCTGAGCCTGGTTCTGCTGCAGGTATCTTCCTGTTAAAAGGGAGTTTTTCCTTCCTACTTTCACCAAAGTCCTTGCTCATAGGAGGTCACTCTGCTTCCTGACATTGGACCCACATTAAACTCATGGACTGAACATACACACACCAACAACCACCAATAACTGAACACACACACATTTGAGCAAAAACAAATAAATGGCCAACTGTACCCTCATACACACAATAATAACATGGCCTGAACCACCACTCACAACCACTAGCACTTTATATAACCACTGTAGAAATTATCCATATATCTCACTGATCTAAACTGCACTACTGTCAATGCTGTATAGACAATCATTCTATACAACACAATAATTATAGTTCTACAACTGTTTATAACTTGTATAGTTCATATTTCATATTTCTCTGTAGTTTCACATTTATATCTTGTACATAGCTTGAACACTCACTACAGCCTGTACATACTTATAGTTATAGCATATTCATAATATACCTTCATACCATGTACATTGTAACATACCCATAATAGACCCATGTTTTGTACCCTCATACCTATAATAGACCTTTTTTTGTAATATATCTATATATCTAAATTATTGTTAATATATATTTTGTAATATATCTATATTGTTGCTAAAGCACTTTCTGGATGGATGCAAACTGCATTTCATTGCCTTGTACTTGTGACATGTGCAATGACAATAAAGTTGAATTATATTCTATTCTATATGATTGTTGGGTTTTTCTCTGTATGTATTATTGTAGGGTCTACCTTACAATATAAAGCATCTTGAGGCGACTGCTGTTGTGATTTGGCGCGGTATAAATAACACTGAATAGGCCATAACTTGAGTTAAGTTCAAGGTAAAGTTACTTTAACTTAACTCTGTCTTTATGTCAAATGATTTATGAACTTGTTTTTTGTCAGTGATGTGACATGCAAATACAGACAAAAACATGTAATAAATCCTCAGAGTGATGGTGTACTTTTGATTGTATAACATAAAAATGCATCAGTTTTGTCAAAAAAATAATAATTTAACTAAACTATCTTTATCTGAAATTTTTAATCACTGATCACTTTCAAACCATGACCCTGCAG